CTCCAGCCATGGAGGCCACTTGGAGAGTAAACCAGCAGATGGAAGACCTCTCTTCTGCCTCTGTAACTCTGCCTTTCAAATAAATAAATCTTAAAAATAAAAAGTGCTTACTTTTAAAATAAACAAACACTTAAGAATATTAATTACCCAAGGTAAAAAAAAAAAAACCTTGAATCTCACGATTTATACAAAATAGATAATGGACTTATATATAAAACTATATGTTTCTTATATATAAAACTTATATGTAAAACTATATGTTTCCTTATATATAAAACTTCTTTTAGGGAGAAAAAAATAGGAAAATTCTCTGGAAGTTTAACAGGCAAGGAGTTCTTGCACTTGATACCAAAAGCACCACTCATAAGGGAAATTTGATAAATTGGCTTCATCAAAACTAAAGCTGGTTGCTCTGTAGGATGAGAAGACACAAGCCAGGAGAAAATATTGGCAAACTAGACATCCGACAGCAGACTGATACCTGAAAATCCAATAGCAAAAGAAATGAATAATCCAATCATAAAATGGGCAAAGATAGGAACAGACAACACCAAAGAGGACATAGAGATGGCAAATCGTGTATGAAAAGATGTTCAACAGCACCAGGCATTAAAGAAATAAATGCAAATTAAGACCACTAGACACCTCTCAGAATGTCTAAATAAAAAATAGTGACAACATAAATGCTAGAACGGCTGCAGAACCCTGGATCATTCACACACTGCTAGTGAGAATGTAAAATACTACAGCTACAGTGGTAGTCTTAAAAAAACTAAACATGTGGTTAGCATAAGACTCATCAATTATACTCCTGGGCATTTATCCCAGAAAAATGAAAACTCAGGTTCGTACAAAAACCTGCAAACTAAAAACTGGAACCAGACCAGATGTCCTTCAACAGGTGAACAGTTAAACCAGCTGGGGTATGAGCCACTTCATGGAATATTACTCAGTAACAAAAAAGAATGACCCGGCCGGCGCCGCAGCTCTCTAGGCTAATCCTCCGCCTGCGGTGCTGGCACACCGGGTTCTAGTCCCAGATGGGGCACCAGATTCTGTCCCGGTTGCTCCTCTTCCAGTCCAGCTCTCTGCTGTGGTCCGGGAAGGCAGTGGAGGATGGCCCAGGTCCTTGGGCCCTGTGCCTGCATGGGAGACCAGGAGGAAGCACCTGGCTCCTGGCTTCGGATTGGCACAGCACGCCAGCCGTGGCAGCCATTTGGGAGGGTGAACCAACAGAAGAAGACTTTTCCCTCTGTCTCTCTCTCTCACTGCCTACTCTGCCAGAAAAGAAAAAAAAGAAAAGAAAAGAAAAGAAAAGAAAAGAAAAGAAAAGAAAAGAAAAGAAAAGAAAAGAAAAGAAAAGAAAAGAAAAGAAAAAGGATGACCCATTGATACACACAATGACTTGGATGAATCTCCAGAGAATTATGTTGAAAAAAGTTCATTTCAGTGCCAGGATAATTCAACAGGAAAGAATAGTCATTTCAAAAAACAGTGACAGGAAAACTTGATGTTCACATACTAATGCATGAATATCCAGGAATCTAGGACCTCAACTTCACCCTATATACAAAACCAACCCAAAATGGGTCAAGGACCTAAATGTAAGACCTGAAATTACAAAAATCTAAGGGGAAAAAAAAAAAAAACACATGGCCATGAGCCCTCATAACTTTGGATTAGGCAATGGTTTCTTAGATACAACATCACAAGCTAAAGAAAAAATAGATAATGCTCCACTTCCACTCCAGCTCTCTACTACAGTCTGGGAAAGCAGCAGAAGACTGCCCAAGTCCTTGGGCCCCTGCACCCACATGGGAGACCTGGAAGAAGCTCCTGGTTCCTGGCTTCAGATTGGTCCAGCTCTGGCCATTGCAGTCATTTGGGGGGTAAACCAGTGGATGGAAGACCTCTCTGTCTCTGCCTCTCCATAACTCTGCCTTTCAAATAAATCTTTTTTTATTTTTTTTTTTTTAATTTTTGACAGGCAGAGTGGACAGTGAGAGAGAGAGACAGAGAGAGAAAGGTCTTCCTTTGCCGTTGGTTCACCCTCCAATGGCCGCCGCGGCCGGCGCACCGCGCTGATCCGATGGCAGGAGCCAGGATCCAGGTGCTTTTCCTGGTCTCCCATGGGGTGCAGGGCCCAAGCACCTGGGCCATCCTCCACTGCACTCCCTGGCCATAGCAGAGAGCTGGCCTGGAAGAGGGGCAACGGGGACAGAATCCGGCGCCCCGACCGGGACTAGAACCCGGTGTGCCGGCGCCGCAAGGTGGAGGATTAGCCTATTGAGCCACGGCGCCGGCCCTTTCAAATAAATCTTTAAAAAAAAAAAATGGGTAAGTGATCTGAATAGACATTTCTATAAACAAAATAAATGACTAATAAACTCACAAAAACTACTCAACATCATTAGCCACCAGGGAAATGCAAATCAAAACCACAATGAGATATCATTTTACACTCATCAGGATGGTTAAAATCAGAAGACACGCCTGTGGCACCAGCATCCTATACGAGCGCCAGTTTGAGTCCTGGCTGTTCCACTTCCGATCCAGCTCTCTGCTATAACCTGGGAAAACAGCAGAAGACGGCCCCAGTCCTTGGTCCCTGCATCCACATGGGAGACTCAGAAGAAGCTCCTGGCTCCTGGCTTCAGACTGGCCCAGCTCCAGCCGTCGTGGCCATTTGGGGAGTGATCCAATGAATGGAAGATCTCTCTCTCTCTCTCTCTCTCTGCTTCTGCCTCTCTGTAACTCTGCCTTTCAAATAATAAATAAATAGATCTTTTTTAAAAAAAAAAATCAGAAGACAGATAATAACAAGTGTTGGCAAGGACGTAGCAAAACTGGAACACTCACACACTACAGGTGGGGATGTAAAATGGTAGTTGCTTTAGAAAACATTCCAGCAGTTTCTCAAGGGTTAAACAAAGCGTTACCACATGACATATGGTATATACACAAGAGAAATGAAAATCTATGTCCCCGTAAAAACTTACACATGAGGAACAGGCCCTTGGCACAGCAGTTAAGACAATGTTTGGGACAACCACAGCCCCTATCAATCACAGTGCCTGCATTTAAGTCCCAATTCCAGCTCCCTGCTAATGTGCACCCTGGGAAGCAGCAGTGACGCCTCAAGGACTTGGGTCCTGGCCACCCCCACAGGAGACCTGTATTGAGTTCCAGCCTCCTGGCTTTGGCCTGACCCAGCCCCAACTGTTGCAGGCATTTGGGGAGTGACCCAGCAGATGGAAGATCTCTGTGTACCTCTCTTACTCTTTTCCTTTCAAATAAGTATAAATAATTAAACATTACTTTTTAGAAAAACTTGTATGTAAAAACGAATAGCAATACTGCTAGTAGACAAAGCTACAACCCAAATGACCACCAGCTGATGAATGGGCAAATAAAATGTAGTCTACTTCTACAATGGAACATTACTCAGCAACAAGAAGGAACAGGTACTGCCACACACTACAGCTCGGACAAACCCGGAAAACATCATGCTAGATGCAAGCAACCCGGCACAAAGGACTATCATTTGTACGGTTCTGTTTCTATGAAATGTCCACAGAGAGGCAAATCTGCAGAGACAGAAAGTAGATTGGTGGTTGCTAGGAATAGAAGTACTAGGGTGAAATGGGGGGGACTGCTAAAGGCCACCAGGCTTCCTTTTGGGGTGATGAAAGTGTTCCAAAATCGATTCTGTTGACGGCTGCATTACTCTGGGAGTATACTAACCACCAACAATGGTGTACACTTCAATGAGAACTGTATGAGATGTGAATTCTACTGCAATACAACTCCCACCAAAAAAGCCAATTCCAAAAACGTAGATACTCTATGATTTCATTTACATAACATTTTTGAAATAGAATTTTAAAACTGGAGTGATTACAAAGGGTGAGGGGGTGGAGGAAGAGAAGGAGGTGTGTGAGGTCATGAAAGGGGAATGGGGGAGAAAGACCTGTGGCACAGAGGGCTAAGCCTCTGCCTGTGCCCTGGCAGGCCATATCAGAGCCCTGGCTGGAGGCCCAGCTGCTGCACTTCTGATCCAGATCCCTGCTGATGCGCCTGGGAAAACAGCAGAAGACGGCCCAAGTGCTTGGATTCCTGCCGCCCATGGGGGACACTGGGAATGGAGTTCCGGGCTCCTGGTGTGGGCCCAAGCTGTTGTAGGCATTTGATGGATAATCTCTCTCTATCTCTCTCTCGGGCATTCTGCTTTTCAAATAAATAAATCTTTAAGAAATTAAAAAAGGAGGGGGAAACATTAAGTGCTTGTAGGGTGACCAGACAGTTCAATACTTCTCTGCAGTGGTGAATACAAAAACCAGCACATGACAAACTGTGTAGACCAAACACACACACAGACAAGTGAAACTGGGGAGGCCTGCACGAGACCCGGGGAGCCTACCGACGTCAGCGGTGACCTACGCTGTGGTTCTGCACAACGAAAGGGGCCAAGGGAACAGAGAGCTCGCTGCAGCTTCCTCAGAGCAGCAGGCAGACCCACACTATCTCAATAAAACTTCTAATTAAAAAGAAACGCTGACATCACAAAGAAAACCATTGTGTTCTCAATTTCCCTTCTGATTGCACAGAAGAGAGCGCTTCTGGCGCAGGTGTATCATTGCTCTTAACAGCTGCTTTATCCCCTTTAACAAGGAGGAACAGGCTGCAGGCTCAATGCCCAGACAAGGGAATCCGGCTAGAATTTAAAATGCACGTTGATTTGACAGTGTTGTTTATTTTATCTGGATGATGGAAGGCAGAATTAAGAACACAGATTCCAGAGCCTGCCAGTCAAAGGGTTCCAATTCCAACTCTGCCACTTGCTAGCCGCCTGCTCTGGCCCTGTCACCTTGTCTGCAAGATGCAAGGGACACCAGTACCTACCATGCACGCCTGTGCGCATGTGAGCGCCTGACACCCGGTTTCAGCCACTGCTGTCAGCACCCTAACAAGGGCTCAGCCCTCTGCCCCTCCCCGCTCACCTGCGCACTTGGTGCGGCTACGCAGGGGCGGCCCGGGGCGGCCGGTGCCGCCGTCCCCGGGCCGCGTGAGCAGCACGCTGATCTCGTACTCCGTGTCGGGGTCCAGGTGCCACAGCTTGTAGGTCTGCAGGCTGACGGCGTGCACCTCGGCCCAGGGGCCGCGGGCCATGCGGTACTCGATCTCCTTGCGCACTATGGGCCCGTCGCCGATGATAGAGTTGGTGTTGAGCTGGATGATGAGGTAGGTGGGGCCGGCCCGCAGCAGCTGAGGGGGCGCGATGGGGGTGGGGGGCTCTGCGAGGAGATGCGGAGACCTGGTCCCCAATTCTGCCTCCCATTATAGCCAAGCCCCAAGGGCCCCCTGGGTCCTTCCAGGCCCCTCAAGCAGCTACCAAGCCCTCGACCAAACCCGATCTGGAGCCCCGGCCCCACCCCGGGGCCCTAAGGCGGACCACACCCTCAACTCCCGCGGCCTCAGGGAGCTCTCACTTGACCCCGCCCTCTCGGACCCCCGCCCCTCACAAGCCCCGCCTCCGCAGGCGTGGGCGCGCTGACCCTTGACGATGAGCTCCGCGAAGTTGGAGACGCCCGCACCGCGCGGGGCCTGAGACACGCAGCGGTACAGGTCCTGCTCGGCGCGGCCCACGGCTACCAGCGGGAAAGTGGCCAGGAAGCGCCGGTGGCTGATGTGCCGCACACCGGCCGCGGGCACCAGCGCCCCGCTCTGCCGCTGCGGAGAAAGGGGGTGGCGGAGTCGGGCGGCCGTCGGGGTCCCGTGCTCGCTCCGGCCCGGGCCAAGGGAGGGGGTCACCGACCTTGCTCCCTGTGGCCGTCCCGCTGTGTAGCACAGGGCTCCCCAGGGACGCGCGGGCCCCGGGGAGGCTGCCCGCCCGCCCTCACCTGCAGGAGGAAGCGCTCGGCCTCGGCCGCTCTGCCCGCCGCCATGCACTGGAACGACGCGTTCTGGCCAGCGTTGACCTCCACGTCGCCCAGGCGGGAGAAGTGCGGGGCCTTTGCTGCGGGAATGGAGCGCGGGGTTGAGCTTGGCAGGGGCGGCGGCCGCGGGCACCCCTCACCCCTACGCCCCGGTGGGCCGGGACTCACCGCAGGGGTAGCTGAGAAGCAGGATGTCATCCAGGCCCATGTAGCCCCTGCGGTCGGGGGAGATGAGGGCCTCAAACAGCACCTGCCGAGGCAGAAGGGCCCCTGTCACGCCCACATCCCTACTGCCCGGCCCAGGACGTGCCCTCAAGGGGCGTCCTCAGCCAGCAGAGGACAGCCCAGCCTACACGGGCCCTCCCTACCAAACCCACCAGTGGAAGCACCCACAGCCAACAGGCTCCAGGCCACAGGTGCCAGTCCACCTGCATAGTTCCCTACAGGCAGCCAAACCCTTCCAGACAGGCGGGGTCTCCATGTGGGCACAGTTCCAACTCATCCCTCACTCCTCCTATGAATCATGACCTCTCACGCTGGACCCGCACTGACCCCTGCCCGTGACCGCAGATGGACTCCTAATACCTAACACAGACTAATGCTAGCCTCAGGTGCTCCCCCGCTCTGACCTCAGGCTGACACCCCTGCCCGCCCCCACCAGGTTCAGGCTGACCACAGACTGGGCCCAGCCCACCTGATATTCACTGGGCCAGAAGGTGCTGACGGCCAGCTCCGCCTGGTGCCACTGACGGCCGTGGGATCCAGTCATATTCCAGACAGCGCTGCCCAGGGGGCCCCCGTTAACACGCACGTAGACGCCCAGGGTGCCTGGGCTGTGTCCGTCCCTGCTGTACAGGAAGTAGCTGAACTGCACACAGTGGGTGTCATTCTCGCTCAGGCTCTGGAAGATGACGTGGGCCCGCTCGCCCGGGGCATGCTGGGAAGCATTGACCATCAGGTAGGAGCCTGGGAAGAGAGGAGGAAGAGTCAGGAGGTGAGGCCATCTCGGGGGTGGGGGGAGGGACACAGAGGAGGAGCAGAAACAAAGGAGTCGGTTCTGAGTTCTGGTCCCTGTTCTGCCTCCCTGGGGAAGGCCCTTCTAGTCCCAGCATCTGTTTCCCAAAGAGGAGGCAGTGCAGCAAAAAACACAGACCTGACTTTCTAAAAACCCGTTTCGGCCCCTCACCGGCTACAGGACACAGTCCAAGGCCCCACGGTTCCTGAACCACAGCTTTCCCCTGGCTCCAGCTGTCCCCGGCGGCACGGACTTAGCTCAGGAGTCACATGGCTGGCATAGACAGCACCCCCCCCCACCAGGCCGCCTCTTCCAAAGGCCTCCCTCCTGGCCCCGGGATCATGAACAACGTCACGTCTGTGAGGCACCAGGCTGGGAAGTCTCGGGGCTCTACTCCATCCCCAAGCAGGCTCTGAACCTACACTGAATGAAATGTAGGACAGAGCGTGAATGAAAGGACATTCACTTCCAGTCCGTACCCCCCGGGTCTCATTTCCTGCAATACAGATTCGCTAGATGTCCCATGTGGAGAAAGGCAGCCCGGCCCCTTCCGCACAGATCCAGGCCGTGTGCTCTACCACATGGGTAGAAGCTGACGGGACCCCTCAGGACCTGGCTGGGAAGAAGGCTAGGGAGCTGCCACTGGGGCTCCTCCCACGGCAGCCACTCAGCGCAGCCGCCTCCCAGACCTGGCTGCTGGCCAATACAAGCTCATTCAGATCCCGCCCCAGGAGGGCTCCCCCGGGACTCCACAGAAGGGGCTCCTGCTCATCTCTGTGAGCCAGGAGGAAGCTGCGGAGGCAGGCGGCTCCTGGGTCCATCCTGGCCGGGAGGTAAGCACAACTCGCAGCCCAGGACGGGACAAGATCCAGGTCTCCCTGGGCCATGTCCTTGAGCACGGGGGTGTGCCCTGCTACTCCTTCCCATCTCATGTGCCTCTTGCCTCTCCCGCCCCTCGGCCTCTCTCTGCTGTCACTCCGCACCCCTCCGCCTCCGTCCCATGCATTTCTGTCCCTGTCCCACTTGCCACCTGCCCCAGAATCAGCAGCAGGTACATTTCTTGCTCCCCTTCCTCACGGGCTGGGTCTCTGAGTGTAAGAGAAAGACAAGCAGTGCCCACCCAGGATGGTCGGGACTGGAAAAGGTGAAGTCAAATCCTCTCTCTTGGACGTGAGAGCCCACTGTGTGCCAGGCGCTGAGGAGTGGCGAGGCCCACCCAGGGGCCCTGCCGTGGTGGGTGCCGTGCCACAGCAGATGCCAGCTCAGCCATGCTGGGAGCCCTGGGTCACTACGATGATAGGGGAAAGGTGAGGGATCTTTAGGCTGCCCCGTCCTGGGGTTCACTCAGAAAGCCCATTAGGTTCTCACGCTGTCATGTCCTCTGACACAGCCCCTATCAGTAACCTCCGTCTGCCTTATCCTTTTCCTAATTCCCAGTCGATTCTGCACCCAGTGAAGAGGGGTACTAGTTATTGGGTCTCCTCATATACCCCCAATAGCAGCACCTAAACAGCCAAGCCCCAACACCCCCGCCCCGGGTGCTCTGCACTTTATATGTGCTATCTAGTAACCCTGTAAGTAGGCTGCTGTTCTCCCCATTTTTGCAGTTAGGATCATGGGGGCTCAGAGAAGGGAAGTGACCTCCCCAAGGTCACACAGCCGGTAAATGTCTTCGAGCCTCTGGAATGACTTCATAAGGGCCAAAATCAGAGTAGGAGGCCCATACTAGAATCCATAAAATGAGTCTCCTGGCTCGCAGTCCAACGCTCAGGATGCCCAAAGTACCCCAGCCCAAAGTGGGGGCGCAGCAGGGTAGAAGTCAGGGAGGATCTGGGACTTGCAGGAAGATGAGACAGAGGAAGGTTCTGCACACATCCGGCCCTGATGTCACTGCTCTGTCAGCATCTGCCCCAAGACCCACAAGACGGCCTCCCAGGGGAGGACAAAGTAGGGAAACCTGGCAGAGTGGGGCGGAGCCTGAGCTAAGCTGCAAGGGGTTTAACCCTCAGCTGTAAAGGCGTTGATTACTTGAACCTGCACCCGCTTGACAAGAGACACTGCCTGACATGCAGGATCAGACAGCGCCACCGGAACTGCTTCTGCAAGAGAACAGAGCGGGACGGTGCGGTGCGGGAGAGGAGGCTCACCGTGGGGCAGGTCCGCAGGGGCCCGGGCGCCAGGCTGGATCCGCACGCGCTCCCACTGGAAGTCGTCGTCCTGGGCCTGGCTGTACTCGCAGGGTGCTGCCGGGTCACTCACCTCCTCGAAGGTGCAGCCGGCTGGGAAGGCAGAGCCAGCTCAGCCCAGGCTGGGGCAGGGCTGCCCACCAGGAAGGCTCCTGGGGCTGCTCTCCCGTCCCTCCACCCAGACCCACTCCCCTCCTCTCCCTCTCTCCAGGACCCTCCCCCACTGCTCCCTCCAACTCACAAAACTGCCCCTCTTCCACCCTCTTCCTCTACCCTGCCCCCATCCCAATACCAAGACCTCCCCCACACCACCCACTCCCAGGCACTTCCCAAGGACCTCCCACTACTCATCACCCTCAAAGACCCTCTTCAGGAACCGGCGCTGTGGCGCAGTGGGTAAAGCTGCCGCCTGCAACGTTGGCATCCCATATGGGCGCCGGTTCATGTCCCCACTGTTCTGTTTCCCATCCAGCTCCCTGCTAATGTGCCTGGGAAAACAGCACAAGATGGCCCGTGTGCTTGAGTCTCTGCACCCATGTGGGAGACCTGGGTGAAGCTCCTGGCTCCTGGCTTCGGCCTGGCCTAGTGCTGGCTGTTGCAGCCATCTAGGGATTGAACCAGCAGATGGAAGATCTCTCTCTGTTCCTCCCCTCTCTCTAACTCTTTCAAGTAAATAAATAAATCTTTAAAAAAAAAATTAAAAAGTCCCTCCTCAATACAGACAGTTATCATTATTGCTGTGTCATCAGAACCCCACGACAACTCATGAGACGGACTAGAACCAGCCCCATTTCACAGACAAAGCAACTGAGGTCCCAAGAGGCTGAGTGACTTTCTCAGGGCCACCCAGCTAGGGACAGAGGTGAGGTCTGAACCCAGGTCTCCTGACTGCTCCTTGGGGTTCGCCCAGAGGACAGAGTAGGCCCCAAGCCAGCCTGACAGCACCTCCAGGAAAACAACCACTGCCACCCCCAATCGACTCAGGCTTAGGACAAGCCCAGCACAACACCTAACACCACAGTGCAGCATCACATCCGTTGCCCCTGGGGGTTCTGGACCCCTATGTGAGGGTCCTTCAGAATGTCCGTGGGAAAACAGAATTGCAAGTCTGGGCTGGGGCAGGCATTGGGCCCAGTGGTTAGGACGCATCCCGTATCAGTGTCTGGGTTTGGCTCCATTCTCCATTCCAGCTCCCTGCTAATGTACACCCTGGGAGGCAGCAGGTAATGACTCAAGTGCTTGCCACCCACGTGGGACCCCTGGATTGAGTTCCTGGCCCCCAGCTTCCGCCTGCTCAGCCCCAGCCATCACAGGCACTTGGGGAATGGAGATGGGAGCTTTCTCTCTCTCTCTCTCTCTCTCTCTCTCTCTCTCTCCATCTGAAATAAAAAGTACAAATTTATTTTGAGGCAAAAAAATTTCAGTACAAAAAAAGTTTGCATATAATATGTAGAAAATGCATATTACAAAAAAAACTATGCATGGACTTCAAAATTGTTTTTGCACCAAAATAAATTCATATTTTTAATTCCACTCTCCCAGGAACTTTTTGAAGTACCCTTGTATATAATGTGCTTTTTCCTGTATATACCTACCTATGCTAAGGTTTAAGTTTATAAATGATGCACAGTAAGAGGTGAATTGCAAAAACTAATACTAAAATAGAACAAGTCTAACAATAAACATTATTTAAAACTTAGGAGATTTTTATTTCTGGAATTTTCCATTCAATATTTTTGGACCACAGTTGACCCCAGATAACTGACACCATGGAAAGCGAAACCCCGTGTGGGCTGAGGGGAGGATAAGGCATTATTTGTACTCCACAGATGGCAGGGGATTCAGGCCTTGCCCAAAATCAGCCAACTCAGGTCTCTGCATGCGGGAACGGAACACACAAAACACAGTCTTGTGTGCACTGAGCAGTGTGTGACTTGAGGAAGCAAACAGCCATGATTTGGAACGGATATGAAGCCGTTTAAATGAGAAGGGGAGGGAGGGAGGGGGGATTGCAATGGAGGTGAGGCCGCTGGCTGCTGACGAGGCCCAGGGATCGCAGCTGGCTCATCAAAGCCCTGAGCCCAGCACCTAATAAAACCGGGAACATGGCCGGTTCAGAGAGGAGCTACAAACCGGTGCCTGCAACCACCCCCAAACCTCAGTGCCTGCGAGGCGGCCGAAGCATCAGAGAACAGCAAAACGCCTGAGCAAGTGGCGAACAAGCAGGCACGAGCTGGCCCAGGCTCTGTCCTGGGTGCCTGCCAGCCCCTGGTACTTCCATTGGACAGACGAGGTGACAGGCTTCGAGGAGTGCAGGGATCTGTCCACAGTACAGCATGGCAGCTCGTGAGGGCACTGTGGCACCAGACAGACTTGGGACAGAACCCTGGCTCTGTAATTTGCTAACTCCTGTGACTGTGGGCAAACTGAGCCTATTTCCCCACGCAGAGACGGGGTTGGTAAGCACTCGAAGCGGTGGCCCTCGTAGCACAGTACCTAGCACGTGGAAGTGCTCAAAAAAGAGCAGCTCCTACTATGTGCTGCTGGCGCCTCCATGAGGAACAGAGGCGGGGTCTGAACTCCAGCGCCAAAGTCCGTGCCTCCTACAGGGAAACGATTTTGTAGGAGGTGCAGCAAACCTGGGCTGCTTCCCAGCCTCAGGAAGAGGAGAGAAAGGGGGCAGACGGGAACCAGGGAGCAGCAGGTGCAGCGCTTGGTGCTGTCGCTTCGGGGGCTCCATGGCTTCCTCGGCTTCTCTAGCTGCTTCCATGACGTAACACAGAGGAGCACGCCGCTGTCGGGGCCTCTGCTCGTCTTGCACTCCATCAGTGTGCAAAGATGAGATGCGGGCATGCAGCTGGCACCAAGCGGTGCAGAAAGTAACAGAAGATTCTCTGCAGGACCCGGAAGGCCTGGCTGCCCCTTCAAGCCTGCAGAGCCCTGGGGGGCAGCATGCCCTATGACCTGAGAGGGACCGGTAAGTTTTAACCCCATTGGTGCTGGAAGGGCCTCAGCTCTCCCTCTAGAAAATGACCCACAGTGCATCACAGAGAGAGGACATGGCCAATAGGGATGGCCAGGGAGGGCTTCCTGGAGGAAGAAGACAGCTGACTTCTGCCTGGGGCTCAAGTCCTTCTTCCTTCAAAAACTGCAAGGCAGCTACCCCAAGATTGCCCACTCATGGCCTGGGGTAAACCTGAGAGTGCTGACTCCTTCACTTCTTCTGGTCCATCCTGAGCCAGGCCATATGACCTGCCTGGACTACAGACGGATCTCCAAGTGACACTCAGACCATCTGACTTCAGCCAGAGCAACCCCAAGATGGAATGGGCCCATTCACAGGACCCCACACCGACTGACCCATACTGGTGACCAATTAGTAGGCTGGCCTCAGCCAGAGTGGTTCTCAACTGACTGTCCCTGGGCAGATGACACCTGGGCTATCTAATGTCAGCCAAAATGACCACCAGACTGACTGACCCCAGGTCGGTTGATCCCAGCTAGTATAACCCCTGACCCCAACCAAATAATCCCCACGACTCATCCCCACCAGGGGGGTAGCCCAGGCTGACTGAGCCCACCCGGAGTGCCACCCTCCTGCCGATCCACGTCCATCCAGCACTGTGTGTCTGGGCCAGGCCCAGCTGCAGTTACAACCCTTACAGATTTCATCTCTGGAGAGCCCTGACACCTGCTCCCCAGCTCTCACCGGGATAAAAACAATCAGCTCTCCCCAGCCCTGCCAAAAGCCCCCCTCTCCTCCAGCCTGGACAGCTCCAGAGCCCCAAAGTCAAGTCCCAGCCCACTTTAAAAGACCCAACTCCTGCCAGAGGCCAGGGGCAAAAACTAACTCAGACCTTGAGTTCAGGGCAGAAGTGCAGCTTAGGATCCCTCTGGGTCCCACTAACACTGACAAGGGCACCGACACATCCCCCACACTCCACCACCCCAGGGGGCTGCCAGTCACCGCATGACCACCTGTGCGGGTACGCATTCACAGTCGCCCCAAAGACAGAGAAGTAGGCTTGGAGAGATGCTGCCATTTGCCCAGGCCACGCGGCCACAGAGAGCAGAAATGGGTGTTTAAACCACCCACTTTATTCCAGGAGGCCAGGCACAGAGAGAAGAAAGCCCTATCTCCATCCCCTGTGGGCCACACTCAGTGTCATTCCCAGGACATTTGTCCCTGACACAACAAGGCAGGTCCCAGCAGGTGTATTACAGATGCAAAGATGATCGAGATTCACCTGGCTTCAGGGGCCTCACAGTCTGAATGGGGGTACAGGAGTGAGACCAAGAGACCGGGCAAGGCCAGGAAGGGGAGGGTTCATAGAAGGGAAAGGCTTCCTGGAGGAGGCTGCCCACCAGCAGCGCAGGTGCAGGTATTGCTCTGGGGGGTGAGGTGGATGGGAGGGCGTTGAGGGAAAGAAGGAAGCGGTAGTAAACACACAGCCCAGCGCCCAGACTGGCTGGAGACAACGGAGGGAGGGGAGCTGAGGCTAGATCATGGAGGCCTTGAATGCCAAGGTGAGGGGGCCAGCCTCATTTTGAACTGGGGAGCCACAGCAGGTGTGGAGCAGGGAAGGGCCCAGAGTCAGGTGAGACAAGTGCCACCTCCCACAGGCCCTGAGCAGTCAGGCAGCCTCTCCAGAGATCACACCAGGACCCAAGCCACCCAGAGGTCCCCGGAACCAGTGAGGGAAGGGGCTTCACATTCCTGTCCTGGATGCAAACAGCACCCACTCCAAGTCACACCAGAGAGGTGCACAACACACACATCCACTCCTACTCCCCAGCCTGGCCAGAGCCTGGAGACATGGTGCCACTGAGGCCAGGCACAGGGCGGCCAGCAGGTCTCTCCCTGGGCCCCCCATATCTGCAGAGGCCTCCGAAGCAGCCAGGACCCCCGCCCACTGCTCCCCCAGCCCCAGCTCCAACTGGCCCAGCTACATTCCTCCGCTAATCTCCCCAATCTGCCGGGCGGTTGCCTGAGCAACCGCCCGCCACAATTTGGGAAGCAGGGGGATGGTCTCTCCACATCCGGCTGGGCTGGGCTCTGGACGGGGTGAGCTAAGGGACAGAGCTCGCTCTGG